ATGGAATGGATGAATGTAGTTCAGTGAGTTATTCTATGTGAAGAAGAAAAACGCTTTGTGGAGGAAAACAAGTAATTAAAGGTTTCAATCAGTTCTCTAGAATCATCTGTCCCCGCAATAACGGAGACAACTATTTCCTTAGTGGGAACTCTGTCTCCTTTCCTTCTCTTTCCTAATTCTGATTTTAGCTGGTATCTGTGTTAGCTAATTAGACATTACTGTGCATCTCCATCGAGCTCTTTGAAGCTGTTCTGCATTCTGAGATTAAAATAAGTCTCTTATTTGATACATAGGTCTAGGAATTAATTAGCGTAGCCAGACTATACTATCACTGGACTATTCAATGACACAACCCTTTGTGAACTGCGAGAGATGGAATTCAATAGCTTTCTCCCCATGCGGAGAGAGGCTCCGTTACCGATGGCCACACTGCAGATTGCTGGGACTGGGCTTTCTCCCAGGCCAGGTCTGCATGAGTCTCTCGGATACTTTTTGCTGGTGAGAGCAGGTGCAGCTTGAAGCTCTGCAGGGCCTGGCTAACCTTGTCCCTGTCCCACGTGTTGCTGGGGCTTCTCTGCCTCTGTTATTTAAACTAGCCAGCTCAGGTGTCACTGCGTGCCATCGTGGTGTGCGGCCTCGATGCACACTTGGGATACTGGCAGTATACCAACAGGCAGAGGAGAAGAGGTAAGAGCAGAAAAAAGAAGCATTTCAAACAAAGAAATCTTACAGATTAATGATGGTGGAAAAGGCTCATTATGTTGTGAGCATCTACATATGGAGCTGTTGATCAAATGACAGCTGTTTTGTACATTCTCGCTAGCAAGCATTAGTAAGAAATTGCCATTTGTAAAAATTTAATGCAGCCACCCATAAGTGGAAACAGGCAAAAAATGTCCAGCCCTTGAAGTAACTAAACACCCAATTGCTTCCCTGGAAGTTGCAGTTTTCCAGTATTTACATACAGAAATAGAGGAGAGATGGTGGAAATGAGCAGTCTTTTAGGAAATGGGACTTACATGTGGGTGCATACACGAGTATTGGTGCTTATGACCAATCCACTGAGAGCAGCAGTGTTTTTGGTGCCCAGGCCCTGTTCTTGTGAAGATGTGTGCATGCGGTTTCAGCATCACGTTGTGACTCATCCGGCAGTGAGCTGGTAGGAAGCCAGTGGGATTCCTCATGCTGCAAGCAGCTAACGCTTTACAGCAAAGGCCTCAAGTTATTTGATGTTCATACCCTTGCCTTCCTATGAGAGTTTTCCAGAGATTTCTTGATGCAGTGAGTTTGTGCCCTACCTCTGGCCCCAAAGGTCTCACGAGCTCAACAGGAGGTCGCCCTTCCAGCCTGGACCTTGTCCAACTCCCAATTATTGCTGCTGTGTGTGTTTAGGCTTGTCAGCTCTGGGGGCCCGCAGTGAGGCTGCTAGCTCACGCTACTGGAGCTTCTGCTTCTTGAGAGCCCGTTTCTCTCCCCCTGCCCGCTCGTCCTGCTGTGAAATGCTCCATTTCTCAGCAAGGAGTCAGCGGGAGGCTTCTGCTTAAATGAGCCAGCAGCTTCTGGGAACCGAGGTTTTTCCAGCCCAGGGTTGTTAGTAGAGGTTGCTGGGGGGTGGCTTCCAGTCGGTGGCATTGCAAGAAGCACTTTGTGTGTGCGGGGAGGCTGCGACTACTCCTGAAAGCACCGCAGGGTGAGAAGGGGGCAGCGAGATAGGCAGCGGGGCAAAGAAGGAGGGGAGCATGTGAATAGACTTGACCTGAAAGTTGGAGCTGTGCTATTACTGCCTTGCACAAAGAAGCCCTGAAGTCTGTGGTTTAAATAACTTTACTTTTTATGGTGGGATAGAAACATAAGGCTTGGCAAAGGCTTTCTGTGTCTGGCTGTCCGAAAGGTCTACAGTGACTTTTTTTTCTTTCTAGGAATAGGGCGACAAGCTGAGGAACTCACTGCTGAACAAAATCGGCTTGCTGTAAAGTAAGAATTTAATTCCCCACTTGGTTTGTGTTAAGCCTCATCTAAAAAAGTTTAGTTTTATTTTCTGGGTTTTTTTTTTTTTTGCCTTTTTCCCTCTTGTGATGTCAATACTAACAGCCATGAAAATGTTCCCTAGTTCTTTCCAGTCCAAAATGGGAAAAAGAGAGTAACTTGCTTTTTCTATTTCCTTGAAGAATTAAAACAAAACAAAACAACAACAAACAAACAGGTCTTGTGCTTTTATCACTCTGCACTAGTTAATAAAGCATGGTAACACTTGGCCCTACATTTCACTGAGTCAAATGTGTCCATCCACTCCACCTGTAACAAAGGTGGTCAACTCCTTATTACTCAGACTAGGGCTGTACTATATGGACTTTCAGCCGTCGTCTTCATTCTATCCACAATTATCCTATTTTTGCACAGTAGAACATTCCTCTTCTGTCACCATGCTGCTGCATAGTACAAACCCATTTCGGCTGGACTCTGATGCTCCAAAAGCTGTTTTTCTCTGCCACAAATTTTGGACCCTGAAATTATATTTTTTTCTGTCTCCCTCCAAAAGGTTGATACTTCTAGGCTTGCAGGTTATGTGGCTAGTATATGACTCCCATTTTTCAGAAGGAGATAGCATGTTGCTTATGAATTCAAGGTGGTTGTTTTTTTTCCCTCCTCCTCTGCTGTTTTAGTGGAAGTGCAAGATGTAGGTGAATTCTTTCTCTGGCAAGAATCAGTGTTACACCCATAACTACTTTTCACCAGTATGTTTGGTTAGAAAATTGTTTCCTTAGTTTACAGGGCAGGAGATTGAACTGTCAGAAATCTGCCTGTGAGACTATATTTAAAAAAAAAAGAGGAGTTGTTTCTTGAAAAGCAAAAATCCTGTTGGAAAACTTATATAACTTTTGCTGTGACCCTTAGCTGTGTGTCTATTTTTAAGGCTCATAGCAAAATGTTGAACTGCACTGGGTCCATGTGACCACACCATTAGTTCTGGTCAAATTCTCACTAAACAGACTTTTTTCCTTGTGCAGGAGATGAGCTCATAATATAAAAGTACATGCCAATAGCTCAAGTGTCAGTGGCAGACAAATCATAACTTAGGAGTTGTAAATCCCCTTTGGCAATACAAGCTTTTGTCTTCCCTCCTGTTCTTGATCTGTTTTTGTTTCTCACTCATCCTCTGTGCATTCCTTCATGCTTTGCTCATGTCTCCCCACCCACCCATGTGCAGAATCTGAGTTGAAACCAATGACTTTATTTTTTTAATCATACTGTAGAGCTCAGAAGTGCAAATCATGGACCTGACTTTGAAGAACAAAAAGATGATCCTTCCCCCAAATTGTTTGCCACCTACCGCGTCTTTCTATCCAATGGTTTCACCAGAGAACGTGCCATTCAGAAACTAACATCTACAATAACCAGCAGAGTGAATGCACAAAATCCCTGGCTAAGCCAACTGTTTATTCAAACTAATTCTGCTTCAGAATAAAAATAGGCAACAGCAAGTGTTTAACTGTTGCTTAGATTTTCTTCTAAAAATCTGTTGTTTAGTGTGATTTGATTTTAAGTGGGTTTTAGTTTATGCATATCCATCTGGAGAATCTTTAAACACAGTATCCTACTTTTTCTTACCAAATGGGAAGTGCTCATTGACTTTGGCTTGTGACTACCAGCAAGGTCATGGAAAGGATTGTGCATCCGAATGCAGAATTCAAATAGTGCATCTTCTGTCACATAAAAAAAAAAAAGCCAGTCCAGCATTTTAGAAACCATACGAGCAGTGAGAAGCCTCTGCATCTTTCTCTTTAGTCCTGCTGATCTGTAGTACTGACAGTGAATCATCTTCATTTAACATCTGACAGTGAAAGCCCCAAAGGAGCCTGCGGGATATGCACTAGCAAAATGGAAATAATGAACAAGATTGCTTTCTCTGACTTTCATCTTCAACTGTCTTTTGATTTACGTGTTTCTTTTCCTCTTGCTTCCTTTTCCTGTTCATGTTGCAACACAGGCAATTACTTCCTTTATTTGCACAGTAGGACAGAATGGCAGTTCACATACTTCTAATGTCACGCTTCCCATTTTTAAAAAGGTTGACCTGTACAGGCAGCTGCTTTGACAAGGGGTGGGTGAGAGTTTCTCCCAGGCCTGACAGTCATTATCTTAAACACTTCCTGTCCTGTAGTTTGCATAAAACTCCAAAACGTTGCGTTGTGCAGCTTGTGCAGGTCGGCATTACTGAACTTGTGGTCTTCCAGCCATTACTGGTCCGGGCCATACTGGACTAATGTCCAAAACCAGTTACCAGCTGCTGACCATTGGCCTGTTCCAATGTAATCAGTTTATTTAAGAGAAGGTACCCAAATTTGTGAGTATTTTAAACTAAAACCTTTTCTAATAGTGAGACTGCAACTTTTCGAATCAGTAGCATTTTTTTTACCTGTCATTTAAATGCTTCTGCTTTACACTTGTCTGGACTGGCACTAGCCAGTCATTACTGGGATTTAAGAGGGGCTGTGCAGCATCTTCTCCAAAAAAAAAAAAGAAGAAGAATTGAGCTTTCAGCTGGGAGGGAGGATAGAGGTGAGGACTGAAACACAGTAAAACCAAAAGCACTCTAGAAGGCCTTTGCTGTGTTTGCCCTGGCTTTTTAATTCTATTCTATATGGATTTTTTTCACAGGACCAAACCTTCTTTACTGGAGTACTTAAGCTATCTCCTCAATTTCATGAGCATTATAGCTGGGCCTTGCAGCAATTACAAGGATTATATAGCCTTCATTGAAGGGAGACATGTACACATGAAACTCTTAGAAGTGAACTGGAAGCAGAAAGGTTATGACAGACTTCCTGATCCTTCTCCAACTGTAAGTTTTAAATTGACAAAGATTTATTCCAAAGGGCAGGGCAGTACAGCTCTGTACATGATTCTCATAGTTATAAGAAGAAAAGCCATTTTTGGATAATCTTCTCAGTAAATGTTACTGTATTTTTTTTTCTGTGAAATGGCTGCTGTATTTATCACAGAGCCAAGGGTGAAGGGACAAGCGTCTTCTGCTTGAATTCCCAGAATGCGTTTGGCTTGCAAAACAGGTCATTTGTTAACGGGTGTCTTCTGTTGAGGAATGGGGAGGGAGCAATAGCAGCAAGTTTTATGGCCTAGCAGATACCTATATCATTGGAAGGAATGCATACAAAGATGCATGTATGAGATGTATACTTTTCTAAAAAAAAAAATTTAGCAAGACATTTGGATGATAGCTGGATGGAAGACCTATTCTTGTCCTTAACATCAGTGCTCTTGGCTTCCAGGAAAAATCCAATCTTTTGTTCCAGGAGAACGACAATGCACATGGGAAAGCTTTCTCCTTTCTGTTGAGGGGTGTTTCCTCTCCTGCCCCCAATTTAAGAACTTCCACCAATGGCTGTAGGAGTATGGTGAAGTTCATGGCCAACTTTGACTTCTAATTCCCAGTTACACACATGGACCGGTAGTTCAGTAAGCCACATCACTCAACCTTGGTCTTTGGCCATCTTCTTGTCACTTCTTAATTAATTATCATGTCACTTCTTAATTAATTATCATGCCCCTTGTTGTTGCTAACTGCATTGGCTCTTGAATCACATTCTTTTCATACGTGGGTGAGCACTGCTCTTTCCTTTTTTTTTTCCCCCTCTCCTTGAGCAAATACTTGTAATGAATGTTTCGTTGTCCTTTGTGCCTTTTAGGGAGCAGTGATGTACAAGCTGTGTATCACACTGTTATCTCTTGTTTTGTTCTTGACGCTTACCAAGAATTTCCCTATGGCATATATTGTTGATAATGAATTTCTTGAGAAAACATCCTTCTTGTCAAGACTTGGTTACCTGTATGTTGTCACACAGGCAGCAAAGCCCAAGTATTACTTTGCATGGACTTTAGGTAAGTCTGATTGGTTCCATTATTTTTGTCAGTAATAAAAAAGCTCATAAATGTGGGGATAGGGGTCTGAAAGAGTAATAAAGAGTAATAAATAGGCCCTAGACCTATAATTCTTATGAGAAACACATGCATGTTCCTATTGGCAGTGAAGCCTACTGAAGTGGGGAGTCTTCAAAGGTTTGCACAGTTTTATCTCCTAGTTTGGGATTGCTGTTCCCTGGAACTTAATCTGTTTTTCAGAATATCAGTCAATATACTCAACATGCCAACTTCCTCTTACTTAAGAGGAAATTATTTTTGCAGGTATTTTTAGGAAATAAAGTGAAAAGTTTGTTTCCTCTAAGCCTTAATTTCTATACTTTTTCGATAATATGCCACTTCGGTTGATGGGATTGAGAGGTAGTCCTGGCTCAGGATTACACATATGTAACACTACTATGTAACATATGTACTACACATACGTTCCCCCTACTGTGGGAAGACTGTGGCCCATACATATACACTAAAAAGCTGTACAGTTGGTCAGAGATGAAGATAGGTTTTGTCTTGGTGCTGTGTGGTCCTGTACACAAACAAGCTTTAAGCAATCAAAAGACAGGACTGGAGATCAAGAGGGAAGGTGGGGAATAACTGAAATAGTGGGAGGACCAAGAGCTCTTCCTCCAGGAAAAGGAAGAGAGAAAGAAGCTCATAATAAAGAGCAGTGAATTTCTTTGGCTTTAGTATTGGAAGCCCAACTACACTCTTGGCCACAGTAAACATTTTGTTTGCCTTCTTTCTTTCAAAAGTCACCTTTCCATCAAGCTACGGGGAATCAAATCCTTCTAGGTTAGGCTGAAAATTGAGAGGGTATTTTTCTGGTATTGCAAGATTTTGTGTGTAGAAGAGATCCTGAAAGCCTCTTGGACAGAGATACGTATGCTTGAAAGTGAAAAGAGTGTCACTGAGATGGAGTGGGAAGATGCAAGGAAATTCATTGTGAGGCTGTGATTGAATTACTGGGAATAAAAATGAGAGATTGAGGAAGAAAGACAGGACTGGCATGTGTGGGCTAGGAACAGCACTGGGATAAAGAATTGTTTGCTCAGAAACTTATTTTTGTGGGAACCAATACTGAGTTGTTGCTTGCAATTTTTCTGACTTTCTAGTTAAATAAAATCACATTATTAAAGAGGGAAACTGCATTTGGATTTGTGGTATGACAAAGCCTTGGAGACTGTAGAAATATCGTATAAACGAAGGGGCTTGGGGAAAAGCAAGCCTTACTTTCCGAGGGTGGGTGAGGCCTCTGTTATTCCCGTTACAGACATGGGCAGCAACACAGCAGGCGTTTTCTGCCTTTGCAGCCTGGCTCCCTGCTGCGTGGCACAGGGCGCTATGCAAGTGCCCGCTGAACCCGCTGATAAGCACTTTGTGTTCTCAGGAAGGGACACACAGACACGCTATTGTGCGCCAGCCACGCTGCCCGACGCCTCCACATCCAGAGAAAGGCTGAAAATCCCTCTTCCGCCTGCATTCGCAGCAATCAGGGGCTTAGCCACAAACTTAGCTCACTGTTGCTGATGAAAATGATTTGAAAGGGCTGCCCGCGTCCAGGGACCCGTGCGGAGGGCAAGCGATGGGCCAGGCCTGCGAAAGTCAGCGGGGGAAGCCCGCCGGGCTTGGGGGAGGTTGGGCTTGCACCAGCCAGTCGGAGGCCGAACGATTGCGCTTCTTCCGTGCTCCAAAACATGTTCTGCAGGCAGCAGCTTGCGGGCTGCAGCTTGCAGATCTGCTGTAACCTTATGCCACTGGAATTCCGAGTTCTTGCTTTTGGCAGCGAGGCACCAGGCAGTCCCGTGTTACCCTTGGAGCAAGACGGAGCAAACACAGGAGACCCTCTGCTCTGCCACGGTAGCTGTCAGCAGCTCTGTTCTCCATAGAGGGGCAGGGCTGCATGGACCGAGCAGCTTGTTACAGATCCCCCAGGGAGACACTAGGAGGCTCTAAGATAAATACAGTGTCAGACAGGGTTGTTTTGAAATAGGGAGAGAATCAGGACTCGGAGACCTTTATTCTCCCTCAATACAATCTAGAAATCTAGCTTTTTAGTAAAGTGGAAAATAAAGGGAAAGTTTCAGGTTAGAGAAGGCTTTTTTTTTTTTTTAATGGTACTACCATTACTTTTAAGTTAGGCTCTTTTCCTAGTGCCCATATTGATAGGAGTAAAGCAAAGTCACTTTTCTTTCTCCTTAAAGAAATACTGACTTTTTTTAAAGCTTAGCTTGATCAGGCTTTTATTTTGTAAATGATCTAGATGGAAAAGCCTGACATGTATTCTTGTTTTATTTATTTTTTTTCTCCAGTATCTTTAGTTTTTGTGGCATTTAGTGACCCAGAGATAATGAATCCCTACTATTTTCTCAGTATGTAGACATCCTACATACAGGATATCTGGCGGGGCACACTGAAAGCAGGATCTTCGCAGGCCAGACCCAGGGATCAGATGGCTCCCAGGCAAGACTGAGAAGGGAAGTAGCCAACTTGCACCCTGGGAAAGAGCAAGAACTTTAACCAGTGGTGTCCCGCGCTTCGCTGCAGCAGAACAAGGCAGGGACATCAGCATGCCAAAATGCCTCCCCTTACTCATGCTTTTATTTGCACTTTTGGTAGTTAAGTCTGTAGTTGAGGCTACTTGGTATTTGATTTGCAGAGATGGCCAGGTACTTTAGCAAGGCACCGAACAGCAAGAATAGCAAAAGGTTCTACCCGTGAAAGCATGAATAAAAAGACATGTTGAAAGTCTTAACAGAGATGGTAAATTTGTCTTTGAGAACCCACAGTATTTCTGAGTTCTAGAAAATATTGTGACACCTCACGCATCTTTTTGAGAAAAATGGTAATTTGTGTCATGACAACTCTTATACACCTGTCTTAAATAGATAATAATGGGAAAATGATAAGAAAAAATACTTCCTTTCACTATTATTTTGTTATCTATTTCCTCTGCCCACAGAGAAGTTGTTTTGGGTGTTTTTTTTTCTTTTTACTTGGGGAAAAGGCTTTCTTGTACTGCCTTAGAGCAATGCCCCTTTGCCAACATGAAACCTCTCTTTGAAAACAAAGATACTAATAACGTCCTGAAAGTCCGTATAGTGCCTACAGAGTTGTAAGAAAATATGGCTCCTCCAGCAGTCGGATTTGACCAGTTTTGCTTTGGTATTGCAGCAGATGCAATCAACAATGCGGCTGGTTATGGATTCAGTGGAGTGGATGAGAAAGGCATTTTCCGTTGGGACCTGCTATCCAACTTAAATATCTGGAACATTGAGGTGAGTTAAAGGAGTGACGGTGTTGATGTAATTATAGAAAAATGGGCATGATAATGAGGAGAAGCTTTGCTGCAAGGAAAGATAAGTCCATGCCACTGAGCTGTCTCTCTCTAAATTGGAGAGGTTTTGTGTTTTATCTCCTGGGCAGATAATAGCATCTGTCACACTGCCTTGACCACACTCTATATTCAGGTTGCATTCGTGAATAGTTTATAGAAGGCTAATAAATGATTAATCAGATGTTTAATAAATGAGCAGTCAATTATCATAGGTTGTGGTTGAGTTCACTCGGTCAATAAATTGCTTGTAACTATGATTCTCCACCATCCATGCGTCTTTTTACTTGTAATAGTCTTGCATTTTTGTACCCTGATTGAGATGCAGGGGTGGGATAGAGGTCATCATGGGTAAGAATTGCATAAATACATGGAAAAACCGAGTTTCTGAGTGCACATAACTAGAGTGCCTGCTCCAGGTCAAGCAAAGCAAGGCAAAGGAAGAAGTAACAGTACAAAATGGTAATTCACAGAGCCACATGGAGTGTAGTTGGCTGCTGATAGAGCGCACTATCCAGCAAACCACGTGGTTTCTCAAAACATCTGTCACACATGTTCCTTGGGACTGCAACATGCTTTTAACATCCATTAGTCTTCTGTAAACTATTTACGTTTGTTTCTTTAATGCAAAAGATGGACAATTCAGTTAGTTGTTTTTTCCCCAAGAATGTTTTCTGAATGCCAGTGGGATGTCAAAATGTTTGCAATCTAGGATTCCTCTTTCTAAAGACTTCTTTGCAGTAGAAATAGGGGGAACTTCCCCCTGTGAATCTGTAGTTATGCTTTTAAAAGGAAAAACAAACAAACAAACAACGTAGTTATGCTTTTAAAAGGAAGAACAAACAAACAAACAAAAGTTCACTGCTGCACTTCTGAATGATATGTGA